CCCCACGCGCCGCCCCCCCCCCCCCCCAGTGCCAAGCTGGGGGGCAGGAAGGGGAGGGGGGGGTTGTGCAGTTGTGGAGTCACTTCAGCTTTCTTATAAAGAAAAAAAAGAACCATAAAACATTTTCCTCCGGTACCAAACCTGCACAGGGGGTTTGGAGAGCAGGGGGGGAGCGGTTTGAACGCCACTGTCCGTCTGTCCCCACCCCCACCCCCCAAAAACGTGCATCCTCCGAGAGAAGAGAGGTTTAAAATCTGCGTTAAGAACAAAACCAGCACCAGTGAGGTCCCAGCGGGAAAGGGGGGGAGCCGAAATGTTGTGTTCCCCCCCGCCCCGCCCCGCAGTGGGACAGCAAGAGTCCAGGTGGGGGGGAAGCGCTCGGGGCTTTTTGCCGTCTCTGAGCTCAGACGTCACATGAGATTTTAAAAAGAAGCCGGAGGGATCGGCGGCCGCGGAGGGGGGGGGGGACATCGGGGGGGGGCTCGGGGAGAGGCACGAGGCCGCGCGTGGTCCCCACGCAACCGAAACAGTGGCGAGAGAGAGAGAGAAAGAGAGAGAAAAAGGGAGTGTAGGGGGGAGACACGGGGCCAGGAGAACCTGGGGGGGCTGAGGAGCTCTTTCCCCCAGAGCCCGCGAGCTTCTCTGTAACCTACGCCCGCAGGAGTGGGGGGAAAAAGCCTAACAAGGCTTTTTTTTTTTTTTTTTTTTTCAGTTTTTTAGTTTTTTGGGAACTTCCCAAGGGAAACTGTCCCTACCAAAGTGGCCATAGGCTGCGGTCCTCTGATAGAGGGGCTTCTTCAGATCCAGATCCCTGGAATATACAAGTCCTCAACTCAGTAAAGAGGATCCGGCCCCACGCTCGCCCCTTCCCTGCCTGGCCGGGGGGTCTGCGGCATCACCTCCGTCTCCTCCCCATCCCCGGGGGGGCGGTTGGAGCTTCCCCGGCTGCCCCCCCACCCCACCGCCCCCCAATTCCTGAGAAGCCGGAGAAGCTCCAAGCGCTCGGCTCTCGGTGGATACTTACCCCCGTCCGCGCCCGAAAGCGCTTTATCTTCCGGCATAAGTGGCTCTCCTTGCCGGTTCCAGTTGCACCAGGCGGTGACCGCGGCTGCTCTGGGGAGGGGACCCCCACACGCTGCCACCGCCCCAGTGTCCCCCCACTTCCCTCTCCCAGCGGCGCGTGTCCCCCCCTCTCCGACGCCCGTTACCTGACGATCACCCCGGGGCGGAGGTCAAAATTCTTCTTGACGATCTCCAGCAGCTCCCGCTCGCTCTTCTGCGAGGTGCCGTAGTGGAAGATGGAGATGGACAAGGGGTGGGACACCCCGATGGCATAGGAGACCTGGGGGGGGGGCACAAATTAAGTCCAAGGAGCCCCCCTGCAAAATGATGGGGAGGGGGAGACCCGCCTACACCCACCTGCACCAGCACCCTGCGGCACAGCCCGGCCTTGATCAGGGACTTGGCCACCCAGCGCGCGGCGTAGGCAGCCGAGCGATCCACTTTGGTGTAATCCTTCCCCGAAAAGGCGCCGCCGCCATGGGCCCCCCAGCCCCCATAGGTGTCCACGATGATCTTGCGGCCAGTCAGACCGGCGTCACCCTGCCAGGGACAAACACCGTCACCGCCGTGCCGCCACCACCACCGCATCGGCACAGCTTCACCAGGAGAGCTGCCAGTACCTGGGGGCCACCGATGACGAAGCGGCCGCTGGGCTGGAGGTGGTAGATGGTATCCTCGTCCAGGTACTTGGCTGGCACCACCGCCTTGATCACCTTCTCCTTCAGCGCGTCCCGCATCTCATCCAGGCACACCTCCTCGTCGTGCTGCACTGAGATGACGATGGTGTGCACCCGGATGGGGATGACAGCGCCGCGGTCCTGCATGTACTGCACCGTTACCTGCCAGGGAGAATGCCGGGGCCGTCAGGGGACTCAGTGAGAGGTTTGGGGACTCGGGGGAGAAGTTTTTGGGACCCCCAAGGTATTGGGGCTCCCAGTGAGGTCTGGCGGAGCCCTCACCTGCGTCTTGGAGTCAGGGCGCAGCCAGGGCAGGGTGCCGTTACGCCGCAGCTCTGCCAGTTTGGCGTTCAACTTGTGGGCCAGGACAATGGTGAGGGGCATGCACTCCTCCGTCTCATCCGTGGCGTAGCCAAACATCAGGCCCTGCGGCAGAGGGAGGGGGCGATGAAACCACGACTCCTCTGGACGAACTGCAGTGGCTCACGCGGCACGGGGACTCACCTGGTCCCCGGCGCCGATGTCCTCCTCGCTGCGGTCCAGGTGGACACCCTGGGCGATGTCGGGCGACTGCTGCTCCAGGGCTACCAACACGTTGCATGTCTTGTAGTCAAAGCCTGGGGCAGAGCAGAGGCTGCGATGAGCCCGGTGCGCCGATCCCCACGCCAGTGGTGAGCTGGCGACCTGCCCCAGCACGTACCTTTGGAGGAATCGTCATAACCGATGTGCTTGATGGTGTCCCGGACCACCTTCTGGTAGTCGACGGCAGCCCGGGAGGTGATCTCCCCCGCCAGCAGGATCATCCCCGTCTTTGCCACCGTTTCTGAAGGGAAAGAGGAGGACGTCAGCGCCAGCGTCACCCACCCAGCATTGGCGTCACCCACCCAGTGTCCCCGGGGAGTGACTCACCACAGGCCACCTTGGCGTCGGGGTCCTGCTTGAGGTGGGCATCCAGGACAGCGTCACTGATCTGGTCGCAGATTTTATCTGGGGGAGGGGGACAGAGAGCTGGAGGCCATCACGGCAGCGCGGCACAGCCCTTCCTTCCTGAGCCGTTGTCCCTCGGCACAGCTGAGTGCATGCTAAACTGGGAACTGGAGCTGCAGCTGAGCACAAGCCGCCCCTTAAGCTGGCAGCCTCCCGCAGCGCACACAGCCCTTGCCTTGTCCCCGTGCTGGGTTATTAGCCTGGAATTTCAGGCATTTACCAGTTAAGCTCCAGTTACAGCAGGGTCAGGCCTTGGGCTCAGCCACCTACGGCACCACTAAAGGGGCCCGGCACCCCCTTCTCCAGCCCTGGCTTTCTGAATCCAGAGCATGCCAGCTTCCTGGCAGCTTTGCCCCTGGCTCCCGGGTGGGTGCCTGATGCTGGTAGCTGCCTTGGAGCCCGCCCGGCCAACTCCCACCGGATACCCAGTTCCCTCCAGTACCCGGGATGTTTTATTCTGGAAGAGGGAAAGCCCCCTCCTGCTCCCGGAGCTTCCCAAAGGCCGCTTGGGGCCGAGTGGTGAATAAGCAACTTCTCTGGAATTGCGGATGTCCTTGGCGGCGACCTTTCGGGCCGGATTTGGGAGAGGATGAGGCAGCGCCTCGCTGGGGCAAAAGGAGGCGGCTCCCCCGCCTACTTCTCGGGGTGAAAGAGCGAAGGAATGGACCTTACACCTGCACGCGGTTGCTAAACTCCCTTTTCCCTTGGGGCAGCGCGTGATCTCAGGTACAGGGAGCCCTTCCAACAAGGAGGGTGGGAAGCCCCAAGGGTACCCCCAGACCGGCCACAGGGCTTTGCTTACGCCATCAGGCGATGTGGGTGCTGGCGGCCGAGCCAGAGCTACCTACGCTGTAGGGTGATGGAAAACCACATCTGCAGGGTGCTGGGTGGGATGGCTGGCTAGGAGTGCCCAGGCAGTGGGTGCTGGCAGCCGCCTGCGGGCAAAGGGAGGCAGCTGCCTGCGCAGCTTTCCAGTCATGTGCCCAAAACCGGCGAGCACAAAGGCAGGGAGGGAGGCCGGCACGTCATGGCACCGCGCTGCAACACGGCCTAGGAGCTCAGGGGCTGGGGGTGGGGGCTGTCCTAAAACAGCCCCCACGGGGGTCCTGACCCTCCAGCTACGGGGTGGGGGGGCACATCTGGGGAACCCTAAGCAGGGCGGGCAGGCAGGGTGCTCCATCACCACCCAGGCAGCCCAGCGCTGGGTGGGGGGCAGCAGACCCAGGGACACCCACGGTGGGGGGAGCAGGGTGCTCCGGGGGTGGTTCCCCACTGGACCCTGCCCCGGGGGGGGGGGGGGTGTCCCTCATTGGGCCTGTCACGGCCCCAGCAGCCACGCTGCCAGCCAGGACTCCCCCTCGGACAGCCAGGCTGCGGAGGCGGGCAGCCCACGGGGAACTGGGGACACTC